TATTCTTCTCTTTATATCTTTGTAACATCTTTTTCTGTAAATATTTTAATTGCACCATTTTGACCTTTTTAGCAATAAATCCTATTTTGAAAAGTGTTAAAACTGTCTCTAAAGCTTTTAATGCAAACTAAAGAATCTCTGTCTCTTGAACAGGGCTACTGTATGTAATAACCCTCTGAACATACTTGTCTGTGGTGACAGTGTGTGTTACAGACATTTATGCTAATATCATAGTGTTATTGCTAAGATTTCTGAGTTTCCTCCTTCTCTGTAAAAAGGTGGTGGTGGCAGTGTGAAGAGTTAATTGCGTAATTAACCTGACCTAGTAACAATCACTCTCAGGCTGCTGGCACATAGATTGTAGTTCTGTGAGCTGGAAAATATTTGTGTAGGGCGCAGCTGAGAGTGGCATTGTTACACAAGTGACAGCGCGGTGCGAGCTCAGCTGGTCCTTCGGTCACGAGTTGGTGAGAAAGACAGGGGTCAGGTGCCGCATTCCGCCACAATGATCATGCTTGTTAGACCTATGTTGCTATATAGGTCCACAATCTAAGGTGAGCGGCCATCCTATTTCAGGTGTAGGGGCACTGAATTAATTTTGGTGTGGAAGCACAAGATTATATGGCCTTTGGGCTGATTGAGCACTGCAAGACTTTTTGATGATATGTTATATATATATAATTTTTTGCACTATTGGGCACTGTTTGTTTATTTATTTGTGCATCAACATTATTTATTTGTTTAAATGATATGAGTAGTGCAACACTATTGTATTTTCAATTTTGTTGTATAAGGCATGTGGTTACATTACAAGTGTTTTTTGAAGCAACTCACATGCCAATATTTGATATCTTATTTTGTATTTGTGGTAGTGAACATTGTTTCTATATATAATTTCATATGTAATGTTCATGTGGATGTTTCAGTGGATTGTTTATTTGGACACACTAAAAGGTAAGTCTGCCATGCAGTGCATACTTGCCATTATAGTAACTCTCTTCTGAACTTGAAAAATAGAGCAGATGCTGCTCCTAATTAACAAAGGGGGCAGAAGTCCGTTTGTTATTTAGGAGTGATCATTTCTTTGTTCTGTTGTGTCTGTGACTGCTGCATGCACAGATCTCTCTGCCATCCCTACCCTCCCCCCTCCACTATCTGTTTGACTCAGCTCGGCTCTGCTCGTGCTGTGTCAAGTGACACATGGCAGGAATCTGTGGCAGTTTTCTATATAGAAAGCTGCCGCGTTCCCTCTGTTAGGTAAGGGTGGACCTAAGCTAGTTGCCTTTTTACCTTGCAATAGAAACTTGAGTGGGTGACACAGATAGACCTAAAAAGGGTCTATCTGCTTAGTTAATGTGGCACACACCACTCCTGACAGTTTCCTGTGCCATTGTGATGGCACAGAAAGCTTTGTTATTGCCTGATATGTGCATACAGTTTTGCTTTAACATTATTTCAAATAACTTTGTTATGTAAAACATTCTTTATACTTTTCAGAGTTTAAATAATGTTTTCCTTGCTAATTCAATGTGCATTCTTGTGCTTAAATAAGTGTACTATGATGCAGTGAACAATCTGGTGCTTTTACCTACATTACAGGGATTCAGTTCCAGAAATTTCTGTTCTATTTTGCAGAAAATTCATATCAACCACTTGCCTACCACCTTAGCAGAAATACAGCACAATGCGTATTGGCAACTTCAGCTATCGATCACCAAGTCCCGGAAGGAGATTCCCCACTGGCACTCGCCGATTGCCGAGTATCACTGATGGTGGAGAGGTCCGTACCTAAACAATGCACAGCAGAGCAATACAAAGCAGCGTGCTTGCACTGTAAAACACACACACAGCACACAATTAACCCTTTGATCACCCCAGATGTTAACCCTTCCTGTCTAGTGTCATTAGTACAGTTTCAGTGCTTTTTATTAGCACTGATCACTGTATTAGTGTCAGTGACAGTTAGTCAGTTCCCCCCACTGTCAGAATGCCCGCTGCAGTCCCACAGCCCTGCTATAAGTCGCTGATTGCCGCCCTTACTAGTATAAAAAAAAATTTCAGTATATATACCGCCATTTGTAGACACTATAACTTTCACGTCAACCAATTCCATGTATTGGGATTTTTTTTTTTAGCAAAGACATGTAGCAGAATACATTTTGGCCTAAATTTATCCCGAAATTAGATTTTTTTATTTTTTTACTGGATATGTTTAACCTCCCTGGCGGTATTAACTCGGGGTAAACTTTCAGTACCAAAAGCGGTAACCCCAAGCTACACTCGAGAATACCCTGCAGCATTGCTCCGGGATTCCTGTTTCACTTACCTTGTCCTGTGCTCCCACGATGTCCCCCCTGCAGCATGCTCGGCCATCTCCTCCTGCCTATGCCGGCATCCGTCTTCCGGTTCTGGGTTCCAGTCACTGCGAGCGTCGGGACGTACGGGGGACTGTATCGGCGGGAAATTCAAAAATTTTAAAAGTGACATTCACTAAATACACTAAAATCACATAGTAAAACATTACTGTATCAAAGCATTTCACATACATTTTGTCCCTACTGCTTTGTCCTGGGCCCTGCCTGCATTTTTACTGTTCTTTCTGCCTGGAAACTGAAAAAAGTCCATGGCATCCAAAAAGCGTCCCTTTAGGTCAAAAGCAGTTTTAGACCAGCTAGAGAACAGTGATAGTAAATCAGAACCACTTGCAGAATTGAGTGATGATTTGTGGGGAAATTCGTCATCAGACACTGAAAACAATTTGACGCTATATTTCAAATTTCAGTGTTTTTGGTTTGATTACATTATTGAATTATATGTATTATTATTATTTTTTATGATTATTTATTATATTATAATTTATGCTTTCGTGTTTCAAATTTTATCCTACCCGGGATGTTTACTAGACTCTTGTTCAGACAGATATTGATGAGTTATTCCTAAAAAATTTCAGGCCTACAGTAAAAAAAATGACATATTTCCATGCAAAAAAAGTACTGCTTTGAGCACAGAAATATTGACATAATCAGACCGCTAGGGAGGTTAATAGCAAAAAGTAAAAAATATTGTTTTATTTCTCAAAATTGTCAGTCTTTTTTTGTTTTATAGCACAAAAAATCAAAAAAAAAAAACACAGAGGAGATCAAATACCACCAAAAGAAAGCTCCATTTGTGCAAAAAAAGGACATAAATTTCATTTGGGTGCAGTGTTGCATGACTGTGCAATTGTGAGTTAAAGTAACGCAGCGCCTTATCTCAAAAAATGGCCAGTCTGGAAGGGGGGGGGGGTAAATCCTCTGGAGGGCAAGTGGTTAAAACAATTTTTACTAACTAAAATGCATAAAACATACCTAAATTTACACATGCCTTCAAGTGCTTACTGGATGTGCATAAACACAAATAAACATTTCATAACAACGGAGCAAATACATGAAAAAACTATTTGTTTTTTTAACATTTCTCTGTACACTGAGACAACCACTATCATGTGAGTGGACCTCAAAGAGTCCTTACATTCACATGGGAATTAATAAGTGACAAGGATTTATAACCTAAAATTTCCTACTCTTATCAGACCATGCTTGCCATGCAGTGCGGTATCTGACTTATTGTAATGTTAAGCTTTAATGACCTTGTGTCCAAATATGATAAGAAGCCACAGTGTACAAGTGTTTACAATTATTTATTTCTCGATGTGAAGAGTGCTAAACTTGTAATTATAATCGGTTACATTGGTAGCAGAGTCAGGTGCCTGTGTAAGATAACCTAAACAAAATACAAAACACAATAAGAATAACAATGATACAAAACCTTTTATCAGAGTCTGCATGTTTATGCATGGATAAAGGCAAACTTTTTTTTAGCTTCTATTTTTGCACCTTCAAAAAGATCAGTAAACTCCCACAGTTTAAAGGGCAATTAAAGATTATATTGCAATTTGTTCAAACATTCTCAAAAGGGCCAAATTGACTATCTTGTAACACATTTGTTGTTAAAGAAATAAAGCTGGAAGGAGTTACACAAAAATTATACAGCAGAGATTTATGACATATTACTTTATGACATTTACACCATCCATCTCTATGACCGTTGCCAAATCAAAAAATATAAATCACTAAGGTAGTCTGACTAATATACTGATTTTATGTGAGAGCTTATGTGATGATTAGAGGTTATTTTACTGGTCCAAACTCTTGCATGAAGGTAAAAAAAGGAGGTACTGATCTCTGCATTTGAATTAGTAAATTTGAGGGTAGAATTTTTTTTATAATTTTAAAACATTTTACTTCTGAAATGCTACCTTATTCTACAATATTTTAAAGAGTGTATAAAACCATTTACACCAGTCTTTACCACTGAATAATTTGTAATACAATGTTCCGTCATACTCTTGTTGTTATTTAAACACAGGGACATAAAGCTAGGAGATCGGGGTATATGAACTATAACCCCTAGATGCTGGAGTATACAGAGTAAAAACACTATAAATGGGTTTATGGATGTAGAGCCTCTTAGAAATCACTTATCACCAAGAATATATAAACACAAATTTACTGAACACTAGGGATTATGCATGCCTGCCAAAAAACAATGATCAATGTCAAGACCTACGGCACAGGACAAAATGCTAACATGACTTTTCACTAAAGTAAATAATGCATGGGGATGTAGTAAGACTGATCTGATTTAACCCACCCTTGCTAAGTAGCTGAGCATATTTATTAACATCAGATTGCATTTGGAAAATGTTGCTGTTTAATTGGCTCTTATGGTATATTATTATTCTGCATTTTATTGTGTGTGTCAAGCAGTTATGGGATAAGAAATAGAGATGTGCTTGAAAAAGTATAAATAATTTGCTTTTTAAATAGCACATCCAATATTTTTTTTAATTAGAGAGATGATGGAATATGTTGTCATATATATTAACCGCTTGTCGACCGCCCTATAGCAGAAATACTGCTACAGAGTGGCAGCGGTGAGCAAAATCACGTGTATATACGTGATTTTGCATTTCCGGGTAGGGAGCACGTGCCATTTACGGATGCGGCAGTCAATTACTGGGTGTCAGGGACCGACTGACAAAAGCCTCTAGCGCCCCACAAGCCAGAATTCCCCAAGGCGCGGAATCTAAGCCCCAACCTGCTTGTTCACCAGAGCCCCTGATGGTGGGGATGGACTTGGAGCAGGTCGAAACCAGGTCGCGGCCCCTGGGTACAACCAGCTGTGGTAGAGGCACTTGCCAGTGGCACGTAGCGGGTGAGAGCCTGATGTGAAGAGGTGAATTAAGCGTAGTCAGACAGGCCGGGCCGGTAACGATGGAGGCAGAACGGTACAGAGTGGCAGGCAGAGGGATAAACGGGTCACAGGCCAGGTTCAGTAACAGGAGGTCAATATGTTCAGGAGCAAACAGAAGAATGGTCAGACAAGCCAGGAATCATAGCAGGAGATGGTCAACGGATCAGGGTCACAGGCAGGGTCGGCAATAAGCAATCTCTCAGGATACAAGAGGATAACAGGAGTAAGACCATACGGCACTTGAGCATTGCAAGAGCCGGTTTTAAATAGAGCGCCCTGCGCTGTCATTGGTGTCAAGCATGTGCCCATGTGCGCCCAGGTCTAGCGCCTGCGTGTTAGTGTGTCTTGGCAATCTGTGCATGTGCAGACCTACGCGCCGCGGCGAACCCTGACACCGGGCCCTGCCAGTAATTACTCACCGGCGCCCGGTGATTGCCAAGGATCTCCGATGAGGAGGAGGACTGTTTTTGTTTATTAACAGTCCTCCTCCCTGTCAGCTTGGGCACTCTGCTGTGGATGGCTAAGCACAGCACAGCCATATAAAGCATTATGATTACGGTGAATCGCACACACACCTCCCCCTAGTAAAACACTCCCAACACACAGTTAACCGTTTGATCACCCCTCATGTTAACCTATTCCTGCCCAGTGCCATTAGTTCAGTGTCAGTGCTTTTTTTTTAGCACTGATCACTGTATTGGTGTCACTGGGGATGTCAGTGACACCAAGTCAGTTCCCCCCAGTGTCAGAATGTCTGACGCAGTCCTGCTATAAGTCACTGATCACTGCCATTACTAGTAAAAATTAGAAAAAAAATCCCAGTACCGCCATTTGTAAATACTATAACTTTCACGCAAACCCATTAATTTACATGTATTGGGATTTTTTTTAAAAAAGACATGTAGCAGAATACCTTTTAGCATAAATGTATGACGAAATTTGATTTTTAAAATTTTTACTGGACATGTTTAATAGCAAAAAGTCAAAAATATTGTTTTTTTTTCTCAAAATTGTCGGTATTTTTTTTTTATAGTGCAAAAAATAAAAAATGCACAGGCGATCACATACCACCAAAAGAAAGCTAAATTTTTTGGGAAAAAAAGGACATAAATGTCATTTAGGCGCAGCATTGCATGACCTCGCAATTGTCAGTTAACCTCCAGATTGTAGCTCGGGGTTAACTTTCAGTACCAAAAGCGGTAACCCCGAGCTACACTCAGGATTACCCTGCAGCATTGCTCAGGGATTCCATCGATCACTTACCTTGTCCTTCGCTCCTGCGATATCCCCCCTGCAGTGTCCCCGGCCATCTCCTCCGGCCGATGCCGGCATCCGTCTTCCGGGTTCCATTCCCTGCGAGCGTCGGGACATACGGGGGACGGAATCAAAAAATGTTAAAAGTGACATTCACTAAATACACTAAAATCACATAGCATAACAATACTGTATCAAAGCATTTCACATAGATTTTGTCCCTAGTGCTTTGTCCTGTGCCCTGCCTGCATTTTTACTGTTCTTTCTGCCTGGAAACTGAGAAACATCCATGGCCTCCAAAAAGCGTCCCTTTAGGACAAAAGCGGTTTTAGACCAGCTAGAAAACAGCGATAGTAAATTAGAACCACTTGCAGAATTGAGTGATAATGATTCGTGACACTGACATCAGACACTGAAAACGATTTTGCAATTGAGCTCAGTGATGTGCGAACTTGGCGCTATATTTCAAATTTCAGTGTTTTTGGTTTGATTACATTATTGAATTATATGTATTATTATTATATTATTTTTTTATGATTATTTATTATATTATAATTTATGCTTTCGTGTTTCAAATTTTATCATACCCAGGATGTTTACTAGACTCTTGTTCGGAAAGATTTCAATGAGTTATTCCTAAGAATTACATGCCTACAATAAAAAAACAACATATTTCCATGCAAAAAAATGTACCAGTTTGAGCACAGAAATACTGACATAATCAGACAGCTAGGGAGGTTAAAGTAAAGCAGAGCCATAATGCAAAAAATGGCCTGGTCAGGAAGGGGGGTAAATCCTCAGGAGGGCAAGTGGTTAATGAGGATGAGGAGAAGTGATAGTTATAATAATTATTGTTACAATGTCCAGTGAAAGCAGCGCAAAAAATCAAGTATAACATAGTGACACAAATAAATATACAATTAAATATTGTGCTATAACAAATAAATTTAAATATATAAAAATCAATTAAATTAGAATAAATCAGCAAAAGTCCAAATCATCAAATGCATAAATACTTCAAATAAGTCCACCAAAAAAAAAAAAAAAATAAAATGTGACTGAATAAAAAGTCCTTCTGATCCACTAAAGTCACCACGTGAGGAAATGAAATTAATTGAGTAAGTGCATAAAACTTTACTCAAGTGTCACTGCAAGCTCCAGAGGAAAACATCCCCCAATTCAGTGGCACTCACCAGATATTGTGGCCCAACTAAGCTTGATAGACAATCACACTTATGGTGAGTGTCAGACTTTATAAGGATCTGCAATTACTTAGCCCCTGGGCAATTAGAGACTGATCAGATGGCGGGACATCCTCCAAAATGTTTACTTCTCCCGGGAACTGGTCATGTATATTTTCTCACGTGGTGACTTTAGTGGATCAGAAGGACTTTTTATTCAGTCACATATTTGAAATATTTATGTGTTTGATGAATTGGACTTTTTCTGATTTATTTTAATTTCATTGATTTTTATATATTTACATTTATTTGTTACAGCACAATATTTAATTGTATATTTATTTGTGTCACTATGTTATACTTGATTGTTTGTGCTGCTTTCACTGGTCATTGTAAAGATTTGTGGGGTGATTATTGATTTATTCACTATTTAAGGCAGCAGCACTATACATGTTCCATTTATTCATTCATTTATGTGAGTTATTTGCTATTCACTCATTAAGTTGTTAGGCAATTTAAAATAAGTTATTTAACTATTTTTTTTTTTTGGTGTGTGGTTTTGTGTGGTGAATATACTTTTGATATTTGTATTTCTTCAATAATTATTGTTATTGTTGTTGAGGCAAGAGTACGCTAGCCGATATGGAATGTAAAACTCCTCTATCCCAGAAATGTATTTTCCCACAACAAAAAGCTAACAGTTCTTTTCCAGAGAGATGCATTTAATGGGATAAAGATACTTGCAACAGATGACATAGTCCAGCTGAATTTTTTCAAATATTACAATGAACAGCAGCCCCATTTGGGATACTTCGAATGAAGCATAGAGACACTACACAATCCAGCATATGTCCAATCTATAATATGCACCTAGGTAGCTTCCATGCATGCAATAATGCGTATCATGATCTATACCTGTGCATCCATATTGATAAAAGAATGAAGCTCATACAGGCAGCTAAACTTCCCTTCATATACAGTTTACTATCAGTAAGCAAAGCTGGAGGGATTCTGATTGGCCAACAAAACACTTTTCATCTTAACATAAAGAGACTTCACTTATCATTATTGTAAATGGCAATTAAAGTCACTACAGTGTTTACCAGGTAAACAAGTCACCCCTTCACCATTTCCCATGAATACCCCCTAGAGTCTAATTACCATTCATAAATACTTCTTGTATGGTCAAATCACATTCTTAATCATCCTTAAGTATGGTAACAATGTACCCCTTTTGAATGTCTAATTAGTTAAACATGCTATTTCCCAATTACCAAGGTGACCTTGCATAAAATTAACACAGCAAAGAGTCCTTTTAATGTGTAAAGTGATCTTGTCACTGGCCTGTCCAAGAATGAACAGTATGTTCATTCAATCCTTCTTTCTCTCTCTCTCTCTCTCTCTCTCTGTCTCTCTCACACTGTGTGTGTGTGTATATATATATATAAAAAGTGTGTGTGTGTGTATTACACACAGTATACTACAGGATAGGGCACTTGTCAATTTGTATTGTTTTTTATGTCTTTTTTGATTAAATATACTCTTAATTAATGCTAGATCAGGCTACAGGTCTTCTTTTTGGCTTGTGGTGTGTGTATGTGTGTTGGGGGGGGGAGCTGGTCTGCAGTCCCCTTACCATTTCCTGCTGACATAAATGTCACTTGTTGGCTGTCCACAATTGGGTCCTCACTGGAGTCCTCATGGGGTCATAAAGCTTTTAAGCTTGATGTAAGGGTCAGAAAGGTAGACCATTTGGCATATCATCTAAGAAAACAGAGGGAAACTTCTGATCACTGATCATGGCTTTCAGAAGCATCATGGAGGAATCACATGCCAGGGGTTTACTGTCATTTTTCCTGGGTTTAGAGGCTGTAAAGAAATATTTAAAAAAACGAGATGAGTAGGTGCTATCTGGACAGAAATGCAGTGCTTTAAAAAAAAAGCTCCTTTTTGGGTTGTTTGTTATGAACAGTATGCGGAATGTGTTTTTGTGATTTATATGACACATGTGTTCATTGTTTAACTGTCCTAGTTGTTGGATATGACTTATAACCAATTCATGGCTCCAAGACTTCATAATGGAATGGAAAAATGCCAGTTTGCACTGGGTACAAACTAGTGATGGTACATTCTACCTATTAATTTCTTGGAAAACATTCCATATAGAAAGTTGCACAGCTGGACGTCTCATTTGTTGCTACTCTTGTCTTTTGACTGAAATAACAAGTGCTACAATAATATACCTGTCCTTTATATTGCAAATTTAGAGCTAAAACCCCAATTGCACTCTGTTCTGACTAGGCATGATCTTTAGGAAAAATATTGCTCTACTTTATATTCCCTTGCCTGTCAGGGTTGTCTCCCACTTTTTTCAATTATTTCTCTTTTGACTTCCAGGTTATGCAGTAACATACACAGGTACAGTACATGATCCTGTTATTTAAAGTGATTAAAACAATATTTAAAATCAATATAGTCAATTAATACATTTTAATTATTGTAAGATGTGTTTGATACCAACAATGTAAACTTTAAAATATAGAATGTTAATAAATAGGTACATATGAATGTAATGTGTGCTGTTTGTATTGGAGAATGCAACCTTAAATTTATCAGTATTCAAAGCATTTTTATCTCTTTGGAAAAAGTAGGGAATTAGTAAGATCTCTCAGGATTTTTTTTTTTTGCTCTGTGTCTATTGGAGTGTTTTTTCTTCACTTCCTGTACTAGTGACACAGCAGGAAGGAAGATGCCTCTTGTCATCAAAATACGCATGCCCACTGAAAGATTTCTCTCACTATCTGTTGTGGCGAGAGCTGTAAAAAAATGCTTCTTGGGGAAGCGTCCTCATTTAGCCCGCAGGGATTCCCGTTGAAAACAGCTCTAACAGCTGTTTAAATCTTTAACCAGTGATGAAGTCACCGCCGCCCTACCACGTATGCACCAGAACCCCAGTATCTACCCATCATGTCCACACGCATGCACTAGCGCCCCCATCTTGCCGTACTGCGCATGCATGAAGCCAAGCCTCATTCTGAGGTCAGCTTGCGCATGCACCATACACCAGGAGAATTGTGGGCCAGGAAGTGGCGGCCTGGAGCACAGCACTGCGCTCCAGCTGCCATGGCTGAGTACTAGCACCAGGGAAAAAGAAAAGGGAAACAAGGAAAACACAAACAGGGGGGCATCTTCCACAGTAGAGAGACCACTGCTTACCGACCCCAGCACTCCCATGACCGCCTGCCTCAGATACCATCTCGTCCATTCAGGGTGCTACATGGCCACCCACTGTTAGCAGGCTATCCTAGCCCAAGTTGCCACTTACCCACCATTGGCAGA